GGATGAGTTTTTAAGATGATGATGATGATGATGATGATTATTATTATTATTTTGGTCTTTTTGAGACAGGGTCTCCCTGTAGCCCCAGCTGTCCTGGAACTCACTATGTAGACCAGCCTGGCCTTGAACTCACAGAGATCCGCCTGCCTCTGCCTCTCCAGTGCTGGGATTAAACGCGTGTGCCACCACGCCCGGCAAAATGATTATTTTGAGTATGGATAAAGGAAAGAAAAAAATAATTATAAATATACATACATACATCTGTTTATAAAGTATAGACAAGACTTGTTTTTAATTGTATAAGGAGAAAACGATGAATATAGAGAACTGTGAGTAAGCAAACCAGACCCTGAAAGTAGTAACTGTGTCAAGAACAAGAGGACTAGTCAATTCTGGTGCTGTAAACCTGTACTCCCAGCTACTTAGGTTAAGGCAGGAAGACAAGTTCAAGGTTAGTCTGGGCTATTGAGTAAGTTCAAGGTCAGCATGGGCAACTTAGTGAGAGTCTGTCTCAAAAAATAAAAAAAGAGGACTGAAGATATACTTCAGTGGTAGAATACTTGCTTGGCAAACACAAGGCTCTATGTCCAATTGCCAGTACCACAAAAATGAAAAAAGAGTAAGAGGACTGACTGATCAGCATGAGTATCATTACATAATCACACAGGAGAGTATTCAGGTGATTACCTCAACACAAAAAGCAACTAGACACAAGTTTGTCAGAGTCTACATTATCCAAAAGTCCTAAAAAGGGGTGCTATTGCAGACATGGTAGCACAGGTCTATGCCAGCAATTGAAAGGTTGAAACAGAAGTATCACAAGTTTGTGGTCACTCTGGGCTCTGGACTATACAGTGAGACTGTCTCAAAAAAAAAAAAAGCCAGGTGTGGTGGTTCACGTTCACTTGCAATCCTAGCACTTGGGAGGCTGAGGCAGGAATTTGAGGCCAGGAAATTCCATGACAGCTTGGAATAGTGTAAGACAGTCTCAAAAAAACAAAATATGGGGGCCGGAGAGATGGCTCAGCGGTTAAGAGCACTGACTGCTCTTGCAGAGGACTCGGGTTTGATTCCCAGCACCCACATGGCAGCTACGAACCATCCCTAATTCCAGTTCCAGGGGAATCCGAAGGCCCCTCTGACCTCTGCAGCATTGCATGACACAGGTGCACTCACATACATGCAGGCAATACACTCATACACATTAAAAAAAAAAAAAAACCAACAAAAAAACCCCCCCAAAACAAAATATGTTCAAGACTGAACTGTGGGCCTTACACATGCTAAGCAAGCATTACCACAGCGACAATCCCTAGCCTCAAAGTAACGTCTTAAAAAACTTATTGGTTAAGCCAGGCGTGGTGGCGCACGCCTGTAGTCCCAGCACTTGGGAGGCAGAGGCAGGCGGATCTCTGTGAGTTTAAGGCCAGCCTGGTCTATATAATGAGTTCCAGGACAGTTGAGACTACAGGGAGACCCTGTCTCAAAAAGACAAAAACAAAACAAAACAAAACAAAACAAAAAAAACAAACCCCAAAAAACTTTTTGGTTTTAAGTTCAGTTATATATATTCAGTTATATGGCTCAGATACAGATTCAGTTCAGGTCTGAAATAATGTATGAAGTGAAATAAGGTGCTATATTTCAGCCAAAAATCAACAGGTTAAAGCGCCAGATTCTCTAACCTAGGCTAGACTAGAGTGCTATTATTATTCTTTAGCATCTGTAAGGTTACTACAACTCTTTAAAGCTAAAAGACAAAAACAAAGAACTACCACAATCTTAGGAAAATATCAAAAGAATTATAATTCTAAAAAATAAACATGGCATCCAACAGTGACTAGTAATAATCAGATATCTAGAGATTAGAAATGCATGTGCAAAGATCCAATGTCAATTGCATTGAAAAAGAATTTTTCTGTATGAAACTGTGTATTTTAATAATGAAATGGAGATCTTTTTAAAGGTTAAAACATCATTTAATTTATGTCTTATAGGGTTTATAATGAGTACAATATTGTATAACTGTAATAATTCAACTGTAAACCTAAAAATTTACAGCCAATTTTGAAAGAGATGCATCCTACCTCAGGAAACCGTTATTGAATATGTCAATTGTGTTGTAATGATATGCTTCTTCTAAGTATGTTGTTATTAAATAAATCATTTTTAAAAATTAAAAAAAAATAAAAAAAATAAAAAAATAAACATGGCTGATAACTATCTTTACTGGCTACTTAGGATGACTGAAGTCACAAGAATCAAGCATATTATCAGCACTGTGATGTACATCTATAATGTTAGCACTTGCAAGGTAGAGACAGGAGCATCAGGAGTGGAAGGTTGGACTCTATACATAGCATGCTGCAGGCCAGCTTGGGGTATGGGAGCCCCTGTCTCAAAAAATAAACAAACAAACTCCAGCATACTAAATTTGTAACTGATTTTATCGCTTAAAGGTACCTAAATTTGTAATAAACCTTTAAACATACTTTTGAAAATTTTGGTTTTAAATTAGATATTTTTTTGCTTCTCAGTATGCTTGCATCCCGTGTCCGAGAACTAATTAATCCTTTACAGACAATAAAGACAGGTGCATATGTATTTAATTATCTGAGACTTTAATAGAATGCAAATAGTTTTAACTTCTCTTTCCTGTATACAAAAGGCTATTACAAAACCTAATTAACAGCTGCAAGCATTTTTTAAAAGATATTTGTAGCCCTGATTGGCCTGGAACTCACGGAGATCTGCTTCCTGAATGCTGAGATTAAAGGCATGTACCACCATATCCAGTTTAGTTACAAGTAAGTATTTGATTTTATTTCATGAACTCCTAGTACAGTATCTACTATGCATAGCAGGTTTCCAGGAAATGTGTCTCACATAAAAGCAGGAGTGATAATAAAAATTATAAAATCCAACAAACTCCAATGTTCCTTACCTGTTTTTTTTTGCCCCTTTTGACCTGGAACCGGTTCTATGCTATCTTGTCCTTTCCTCATTAACATGGCCAGTGATGCATCATAAGCTCTGAACAGGTCCACAACCTCATGTAAAGCAACATCTGTTATTAGATCACAGCTCAGGACCAACACGTCTGTCTGTAAAATGAAGAGGGAAAAGTCAGTATCACCAAAAAAAAAAAAAAAAGGCTTATATATATCATTACAAGGTAAGCACTTGACAACTTAAAAACATATAAACTAGACAATGTTTTCAAATCTTTTTTAATTAGAAAAAACGGGGTTGTTGCCGGGTGTGGTGGTGCCTTTGGTCCCAGCACTCGGGAGGCAGAGGCAGGCAGATCTCTGTGGGTTCAAGGCCAGCCTGGTCTACACAGTGAGTTCCAGGCTCCAGGGAGACCATTTCAAAAAAACAAAAATAAAATAAAATAAAAAAGTAAAAGTAGGCAAAGGAACACCTTCGACCTCGTGCCCTCAGGTGAAGACAGAAGGATCAGGAGTTCAAGGTCATCCTCCAATACATATTGAATTCAAGGCCAATAGGAGCTACAGAAGACCCTGTCTCAGTAAAGCATAACACAACAGCAATAAAAGGTTGGAGGTTGGCAGAGGAGCGAAAACATGGTCAGAGGAAAACTGAGTGACATTATGAAAACTGAGGCAAGAGCCAAAAGAAGAGAATCATATAAAACGTTTTTTAAAGCTGGGCGTGGTGGCGCACGCCTTTAATCCCAGCACTCGGGAGGCAGAGGCAGGTGGATCTCTGTGAGTTCAAGGCCAGCCGGGTCTACATAGTGAGTTCCAGGACAGCTGGGGCTGCAGGGAGACCCTGTCTCAAAAAGACCAAAAAAAAAAAAAAAAAAAAGGTTGTCCTAATGGAATGATATTGGGGCAGGTTCTGAAATCTCTGCTGCTCCTTGTGAAGTTACTAGGCAGTCCAGAGATACTACTTTTTTTTTGAGACAGGGTCTCTCTCTAGCTCCAGGCTGACCTAGATCTTACACAGATATTCTCCTAAGTGCTGGGATTAAAGGCGTGTACCACCACACCCAGCTGGCACCCAGATCTTCAAGGATCAGAATATGAAAACTACCACATTGTCTATTTCTATGACTTTGGAATAATTTTTATTTAAAACAATCATTTTGTAGTGGGGCATGGTGGCTCATGCCTTTAGTCCCAACACTTGAGTCAGAGGCAGGTGGATCTCTGTGAGTTCAAAGTCCACATAGTGAGTAACAGGCAAGCTGGGGCTACAGGGAGACCCTGTCTAAAAAAGACAAAAGATGGGGCTGGAGAGATGGCTCAGCGGTTAAGAACACTGGTTGTTCTTGCAGAAGACCTGGGTTCAAATTCCAGCACCCACATGGCAGCTAACAACTGTCCGTAACTCCAGTTCCAGGGGATCTGACCGCCTCTTCGAGGGCATTGCACGACAGGGTGCAATTACCTACATGCAGGCAATACATGCATACACATAAAATAAAATAAAAAAAGACAAAAAACAAAAACAATCATTTTGCTTCGGTATTACCAGTCAGTGACTAGTACACACTAGGCATTTAACAATTAATGAATGTGGTCCTCTGGGTGTAGCTCAGTGGTAGGGCAAGTGATTAAACACGTGTGAAGTTCTGGGTTCAAGCCCACCACTAAAACAAACAGAAAATTGTAAATTAATAAATCAATGAAGAAAATATTGTCTTATAATGGTGGAATTCCTGATTACCATTCTAATAATTCAAATTAATTTCCTTAAAAACTACTGATGGGGGCTTGGGATATAGCTCAGTAGGGAGAATACTTGCCCAGCCTGCACAAAGTTGGAGGGTCAGTCTTTAACATCTTAAAAAACTAGGTGTGATGTCACATGCTTGTAATCTCAGTGGTCAAGAGATAGATGAATAGGCTCAGGAGATTAAGATTATCCTTAGCTACATAGCAAATCTGGGACCAGTGTGTCTTCAAAAAAAGAAACAAGGACCAGAGAGATGGCTCAGTGGGTAAAAGCACCTGCTACCAAGCCTGATCTGA